AATATATAATTATTTATAAAAAAATATACATTTAAAATTTAATTTTTATTTATAAAATTTATCATTTTATAACGATTTAATTCATCAAAGAACATATTGAAGTCAGAGCTCCTTACAGTCGTGTTATATAAGTTAAGTGACCTTTCAACATATAAAAAAATATATTAAAAAGATTTTAATTGCACTTTTAAAAGTTTTAATATAAAATTCTATCGTTAAATTATATTATTTTAATATAAAAATTCCTTTCATATCATCTTTATCATCGTATAACAAATGAGACATGTGACTAGACAAACGATATTTTCTCTGACGACCGGACATAGAAAACTATATTTCTTCTGCCCTATAAAATATTATACTGCTTTTTTTTTTGCTAACATATTTGAGGAAATTATACTTCCTACAAGATAGATGAAACTGTTATTTCGTCCATTGCTTCACTATGAAAAGCACACAAAAAATGACAAATTACTTTATCAGGATGTTAATGAATGAAAAGTATTTCCCTCCTCCCCAAAAAGAATTAAAAATGCAAATTTCTATGCTTTTTTTTAGACAATTTTTTCTATTTTTTGGGGGATGAAATAATCCAAAATTAGCTGAATTAGTCACCATATTTTTGCTTGCAATATTCAGGAAAATATAAGAACGTAGTTATAAGATTAAAGATAATTTACAGCCTTTCGTGTCGTGTCAATAAATGCTTGGCTGTACTTTGATTTTATTAAATAAATTATTAGATTTATTTATTTTATATGACTTTTTTTTAATTAATTTTAATCTAAAAAATATATATTTGTAATTATAATTAAGATATAAGTGATATTATCATTAAGTATACCATTAAAAGTTATCATCTGTTTAATAATAGATAGAGACATTAAGACGTAAATTTATAACTTTTTAAATAAAAATAAACAAAATCTTTCTTTTGTTAATTATAAAAAAAAATGATTTTTAAAATAAATTTTAATAATATTATAAATTTATTTACATTAAAAACTTGGTTAAGTACCCAAAATTATAATGTGATAACCAAGAGCAAAATAATAAATAGGTGATCATTAATATTTTTATTTTTATTTTTCTTAATAAAATACTTTTTAAATTTATAAACAAACACAAATTTTATGTGTTTATTAAGGTTCAGAGAGTGATAATAATCAAAATTCTTTACTAAAGATCTAAGAAAATGCTTTTTGAAAGACAAGGAAAAGCTTCATCAGTTAAAGTGCTTATCTTGCATATGTATAATAATTTTGTAATCTCATGAGTTTTTTTCCTGTATGTGTTATTTAAATCATTCATTTTTCTATATTTTTTCTTACTTTTACTTAATGTTTTCTATAATTACAGACTTAAATTTTTCTTAGATTGCTTATAAATGTTAAATATCCATTCACATAAGAAAAAAGTTTATAATAACAGCACATTAAATTCACAAATTTACAAAAATATTTTCTTTAAAAAAACCTCAATAAAATAAAATATTTTTGAGAAAAAAAATACAAAATATTCTCCATACGAATATATAAAACTACAAAAAATATCCGAGTTTTTCTCAATTGGAATTTTTAAAATAAAAAAAAACACATTAATTTTTTTTATTCGATCCAGAAAAATTTGTTTAAAAACGCTCCGTGTTGGTCCTTTAAAGCTATACTAAAATTTTCTAAACATTATCTCGAATAGTTTTCTAGATATTCATCGAAACGTACTGACATACGTACGGGACGAACATAAAAATACTACTTATATATTAATGGTTAAAGACATTGATCCAGATGGTTCCGATGTAGATTTATAATTGAAAACAAGTAGAATTTATTTTAAATTACTTTTTTTTTTTTTAAAAAAAAAGGAAGATAAAATTTGAATTCTCGATCTTAGTGGCTTCTATTTTGCATATCTGAAATGGGCGTTTATAATCTGGCTTCTCGTTTTGCATATTTAATGTTCAAGAGAATAAAACACGTTTATAGTCACGATAAAACTGACGTAACTGAGGGAGACTAATCACTTTATAATTAGGTTTATTTCGTTTCGTTTCAATTTAATAAATCCTTTGTGACTTTAAAATTTTACTTTCATGGCAATTTTTGGTTTTAACTTCGTTCTTAATGATCTTTAATGTCTCTACACATTTTAAATGCTTCACAAACGTTAAATATACAGTTCTTTTTATCTTTCTATGGCCGTATATACTATTATTTTACCATTAAACCCGAAAGTATCGTGTAATAATCGATGTAATAAATGTTTCTCCTTTAAAATAATTATTCTTAGTAACAAATTGATAAATTATTTACATTTCTATACTCAATTTATTAATATTTTATTTAAAAAAAACGTTCTTCTTTTACATTTTTTTTTCTGGACTTAATTATATTTAATTCTATGTTCACTTTGTTGTAATGATGATCATCTTAAATTACTTAGATGATTTGTAGTTTGTAGTCATTTATTATGATGATGATTAATTATAACAAACTGCAAATATCATAACCATCATTATCATTATTACTATTATCAAATCATCATTATCATCATCAAAAGCGAACAGATAGTTCACACGTTTCAACATCTTTTTTTATAAGAACGAGGACAAATTGACTTAAATTTATCATCATCATCATCATCTAATTTGTTTTACATTATTGCATGTATATAGTATTATTNACTATTAATAAATCATCATTATCATCATCAAAAGCGAACAGATAGTTCACACGTTTCAACATCTTTTTTTATAAGAACGAGGACAAATTGACTTAAATTTATCATCATCATCATCATCTAATTTGTTTTACATTATTGCATGTATATAGTATTATTTATCATCATATTTATTTTATAGCCTTTTAAAGAGCGAATTTGTTTAATTTATCGTCTTCACATTTTCATATTTTCTATTTTTTTTTTTAAGTATACAAGAATCATCGTCAATTCTATTATGCATTCTTACAGGTTTATAATTAATTCACATTTATCATCAGCATCTCCATCATAAAATATATAATTGCATCATTAAATGTATTTTGAATTATCAACATAAAATATTCTTCATAACCTTTACAGGTAAGCTATAAGAGGTTTCTCTTTTATAGTCAGCATCATCATCAAATCGATTTCGCATCCATTTTATCTGTACGATTGCTTCTTATTTGCTATCATCATCCTCATCAAACGTCTTTCTTAATTGTCCAGATGCACAGATAATTGATTTATTTGCATTTAAATTAATAAATTATTTATATATTTTTTTTCATTATTTTTAAATAAATAAATATTAATTATATATATNATTTTGATATTTTGATCTTTGACCTTTTAAGTTAAAATTGTCTTGACCTTTAATCTTTTATACTGCAATTCATATTATATATTTATTTATTTATTTATGAAATTAATTATTACTAAAAATAGAAGTTATTATTTTTATATCCTTTTTTCAAATAAATTGCTTTCAGATAAGGTACTACTTCTAATAAATATATCTTAATCCTTATTAATTTATATAGAGAAGAGGAAGAGTTGCACCTGTAAATACTTTTCCACATCTCGTACGGGAAGAGAGAGAGAGAGAAAGACTGTATTTACAGGTGAAAATCTCACAGGTATCTACATCCAACACATGATAAACGTTTACACTGTGTTACATAGACCTATACACACACACACACGACACTCGAATCGATGTTATTAAACCGTGAAGAGAGGAAAGAGGAAATTAATTTTAATAAAATATTCTTCTTAAGGAAAAAAAAAATTAAATTTCCAACGAATTTAGTACGAAAATTGACCGCAAGAAAGACGAAGCGCTGAGGTAGTAACTGTTGCATCTCCTCCTCCAATAGTCGAAAAATATAGCATACTAAAAATAGAATCCTGTAGTCGCTACGAAGTACAGCTGGATTCGCTTCCATCTATCACAACGTAAGTGCTTGGAGTTGGGAAAAGATTACTTCTCACATCCCCAAACCAATTGATCTAGGACCTATACTCCCCCTTTTTTTAAACAAGTACAAAAAAAAATTCACGTCCAATCTACACGTCATAAAGATTACGACACGCAGAATAGTTTATTTTTTTTAATACATTTTTAAAAATCTCCCCAATTGTATCTAACGTTGTGTGTATCGATTGATAATGATTAATTTTCCAAGCTCTTTCAACGTATGTGTGTACTTTACACCAGATTTTACAGTGCTCTGGAGGTTTTCTTTGTTGAAAATTGGTGTTAATTAAATTAAAAATGAAATATTTTGATAGTTTGAGCCGAATTGATCGATATTATTATTATGTTTTCATTGATAGGCTTTCTAGGAATCGTAACGAAGGCTGCTGGTGCCAGCACAGAGCCGGTGTCAATGTCCTGATTGACAAGCTTTGCCTTCAGTCTACAGGTGTGTGTGCGTATGTATGGTCTCTGTTTCTCTTTCTCTCTCTGTGTATATGTGTTGTGTGTGCTTGTGTGTGAGTGGTATGTGTGTGCGCACGGGCGCGCGTGCATGGCAACCGAGCAACTTTATTTTTCCTTTGCCTACCTGGCGTATCCTTAATTGAAATGCCGGTTATCTTGACGGAAAGACGAACACACAATCCCGCTAGGATCTTGGTAACGCTTGCCCGGGATTGCTTGACGTCATACGTCGATCACCCGATTGGGCAGAGAAGCTAGCAAAGGTGTGACGTCACGTCCTGGGGTCGATTTGGCTTCCAACCGACCCGGAGATGTTTATACTGTTTGGTTGGTATACTTTGGCGACGCCAGTCGGCCAGTAGGTGGATCGTATTTGACGATGGGTGCGTGGGAGGATTGACACATACCACGTGCTCGCTAGTATGAATGAAGAAGTCTTATATAAACACGTGCGATACCTGTCCATAGTAAAAGGCGTTAAAGGTGAGTCATGTCAGCCGACATCTGAAAATTAAACACCCGGAGGCTAACTACATACATCAGTTATCATGGAAGGGGTTAGAAAAAAGTTATACGAATTAAAATTTCTATACGGTACTCGTTACTTTAACTTTTATTTCAATCTAAAGCGCATCAATCACAGATGAACCACACTAGTAAATTTGGAAATGGTGTGATGGACAATGCTTATCAAGAGTGTGACAATCTTACATTCGAGGGTAATCGAACCCTCTTAGGATTTTCACAACCAGTTAGATGTAAATTGGACGGACAGACAAGCAGCAATCACTTAGAATTTCCATCTTATATACAAATGACTGCAACTATTTTCTGCGCTGTTATTCTCACCCTGGGAACTGCTGGTAACATATTAGTGCCTATTGTCGTTTGTAGAACTAAAGAACTTAGAAATTCTACTAATTTTTTTCTCACTAATTTAAGTGTGGCTGATCTTTTAGTTCTTGTAGTGTGTATGCCTACAGTACTCATAGAATTGCATTCGAAACCGGAAGTTTGGTTACTCGGTGAAATTATGTGTAAGTATTTCCCTTTTTTTTCCCTATTAAATACAGCATTAAAAACAATAATTTTCTTTTGATTAAAGGAAGCCAAAACAACTTTTTATTGTTTTTAAGATAAAGCATCGAATGATAAAATGTTTAATAAATATTATTTATATACATTTGAACTTTATCTTATCTCTTTATTAAAAAAAATATGTGACATAAACAAGTAGAATGTACATGTAAATTTTTATTTACAATATATATTTTTAATGGATACGATTCTTAATTACAAACATTTTATTGTTTACAGCGTATATATATATTTTTTTTTTCAGTTATATGCGTATTTATAATGCATAGTCGGGAGTATTTTGCATTAGTATGCGCCCTAAATGCATATTTATATTCAAAGTATATATTTTACAGCTCCTATTTTATAGGAATAAGCATTTTTAGTACTCGTGTTTTTACAAAAATACGTTTTTTTTTAGTGTGAATACATTAAAGAATATGTGTTTTTGAGCGCCCATTTAAGGTATGCGCTAATTCTGGGCGCAAATTTTACAGGAATATGTAACTTTAGAGAGAGCACATTTAAAGAATTTTCTAGTTTACAGTGTATATTTTATAAGAATATGAATTTTTAAACTTCTTATTTTACAGCAATGTACTATTTTATAAAGTACATTTAGAAAGTATACTAGTTTTCAGTTCATAATTTAGAGGAATACGCATTTTTAGAACACAAATTTTATAATAATATACATTCTTAGAGCTCCTATTTCACATGAATATACTTTTTTTAGAGGGTATTTAGAGATTTTTACTAATTTAGAGTGTATATTTTGCAGGGATATTATTCATTTTTAGAGCGCCTAACTCGGAGTAATAAGCATCTTTAGAGCATACGTCTTACAGAAATATACGTAGTTTAATATAGGTTAAATGACAAATAAATAAATAATTAAATAAATTTTTATTAAATAATAATAATAATAATAAACATATACATTTACTGTTATTTCCGACTTTACTTTTATATATATTACAGTCATAAATCTAAGACCTTTTAAAAGTATCTATGACTCCGGGTTATAAAATAGTGTTCGAGTTAGAAGGCTTAAGGCTAAAACTATTTTAAAAAAGTATATATAATAGAATTTAAACAGTTATTTTATATTTATTATATAATTTATTTCAAACTTTACTCGTAAGAAGTTATTTTTAGTACGCTTCCATCTCCCACTCTCTCTCTCTCTCTCTCTTTCTCTTCCTCCTCCCTCTCTTATCAACTTTTATATTGAAAATAGTGTTAGAATCGAATGTAAGATTATCATAGGGGTGATCGGCAATGACGTCACAGAATCCACGACACTTAAAAGAAAAGTGGGGTGCTTTTGACAGACAGATAAACAAACATGTTGTAACGTTAAAATGTGGGACAGAAGTCTTTATGTCAGTGACTTCTACGGCATCTTTCATATAGGAAGAGAATTGTTTAGATTCATTTTAAATGGCAACACGTTTCTCTCGAAACAATGTTTATATTGACGTCACTAGAAACAGGTTTACAACTTATAACCCATAAATTAGCATTAAACCAAGCACTTGACGTCAAACAACTGTTACTAATTGATGTTTACATTCACTTTTTTTTTTTCTTTCTTTACTAAATAAAATTAATTAATTATAACTTTTACAATCTGTTCGTTTGTCTGTACGTATTCAATATTTACACACACACACAAAAAAAAATCTATAACTTAAACAGCGTTAAGAACAGATATTTTTCCTTGTAATTAATAATTAATTAGCAATTTTTAATGTTTATTGTGGCTATTAAGTGATTAACATTTAACTGATAAATATAAATGGATTTTTATAACGAATTCATTCATTAGATTATTATAGAGTAAAGGATATTCTAACGTTATACAATTGTATTTTTATTTAACGTATATATATATATATATAATAATTAAATAATAAATTAAAATATAAGTTGTTACTGTAATTGTATATATAACTATAGTTTATTATAACGTAACTGTAATTAATATGGTCTACTGTATTTTAATTATAACTAGTACACTGTAGTGCTGCATTTTAACTGTAGTTGTAATTGTAGTATTGTATTTTTAACTACAAATATAGCAGGAGTAAGTAAGCAACTNTTGCACTTTTAAAAGTTTTAATATAAAATTCTATCGTTAAATTATATTATTTTAATATAAAAATTCCTTTCATATCATCTTTATCATCGTATAACAAATGAGACATGTGACTAGACAAACGATATTTTCTCTGACGACCGGACATAGAAAACTATATTTCTTCTGCCCTATAAAATATTATACTGCTTTTTTTTTTGCTAACATATTTGAGGAAATTATACTTCCTACAAGATAGATGAAACTGTTATTTCGTCCATTGCTTCACTATGAAAAGCACACAAAAAATGACAAATTACTTTATCAGGATGTTAATGAATGAAAAGTATTTCCCTCCTCCCCAAAAAGAATTAAAAATGCAAATTTCTATGCTTTTTTTTAGACAATTTTTTCTATTTTTTGGGGGATGAAATAATCCAAAATTAGCTGAATTAGTCACCATATTTTTGCTTGCAATATTCAGGAAAATATAAGAACGTAGTTATAAGATTAAAGATAATTTACAGCCTTTCGTGTCGTGTCAATAAATGCTTGGCTGTACTTTGATTTTATTAAATAAATTCTTAGATTTATTTATTTTATATGACTTTTTTTTAATTAATTTTAATCTAAAAAATATATATTTAATTATAACTAGTACACTGTAGTGCTGCATTTTAACTGTAGTTGTAATTGTAGTATTGTATTTTTAACTACAAATATAGCAGGAGTAAGTAAGCAACTGTCTTCACAAATTCGGGCTAAACAATGGAAAAATTTCCTATATATACAGTGAAATTTACTAATGAAAACATTACCAAAATATCCCCTAATACTTCCATGCCAGTAATTATAACTACAGTAAGGGCCATTGAAAAAGGAACTGCGAAATAAGAGGCAAAAGACGTAAAAGCGAAAGACAATCGGGAAGAATAAGAGAAGTTTATTATTAGTTAAAAAAGTAAAGTAATAAAAAAAAAAAAGATTAAATCTGCCGAAATATATTATTGTATTATTCAATGAATGATAAAGAGTTAAAAAATCTACCTTTTGAAATGACAGGTCACGTGTCAGAACACTGAAACAACAGCAGATGTTTCTAGGAAAACATACCGGTAATACAGTCAATAGAGAGCACAGACCTCTAACCATACACCCAAATAAATCTATTCTTTAATAACGATTTTTACAAACATTTCTAATCATTTATTCAAAAAATAAAATAAAATATAAATTATTTTAAAAATTTTTAAATGAATTTTACAAAAAAAAAAAAAAAAAAAAAAAT